CTGTTTTCCAGAATGGACACAGGTGTCCATCTATTTTTATAGACTTTGGTCGGTTTTGTTGGTTGAGCTTTGGAGTGGGATGGGCCTTTGAGGTCCACATGTTCATGTCACCATCTTTTCAGATGGTACCAACTGTTATTACTCATTGATTTGTTCAGCAAATACTGAACACTCATCAGCCATGTGGCAGACACTGTGGGAGCCATTAGGCAGCATCAGACAAGATTTCTAATCTCATGGAGTATCTGTGTGTGTGCTGGGGAGAGTGGGGGGAATGACCGTAAATAGCCAAACACATGAACAAGACAATTTCAGATAACAAGCAGAGGTGCCATATAGCACTGCTCACATTCCAAAATGGTGCCCCTGAGGCTTTAAATAGGGTGCAGCCCTACAGAGAAATAAGAATGTAGGGATAGAGGGATGGAGCCAGGGCCGGGGGCTCAGGCATTATTAATCACCTTCTCCTCTGCAGCAAATCCATTGGTTCATATACTTACAGCCCCACTCCCCTGCCCCCATGATCTTCCCTCTAAAACTTTTCTTTGCCTTTAATCTACGTGGCTTGTTTTGCAGGCCAAGAGATTTGCTCCCTCTGCCTTTAAGGTATTTGCCTTTGGATTAGGATTCCCCCGATTCCCCCGTATTTGCATTATTCTCCCAGCTGGACTCCCACAAAGTCAGAGAGACAGGATAGCCATGTGTGAGTAGCCATGTCCAGCCTGGAGCCCCTCCCACTTCAGTGCTGGGGTAAGGCTAGGGATTAACAGATAGGTCCTCAGCAGATTCAAGGACACCCCCAGCAAGCCCAGTGGGCAGTATGGTTCTCACCCTGGTAGACAGTGTTGAGAGGTGGCTAAGAGCTTAGTCCCTAGACTCAAACTGCGTAGGTTTGAACTTGGCACTACCAGTTACTGGCCATGTGACCCTGGCAAGTTACTCACCCTCTGTGGCTCTCATTATCTTCTTCTTTAAATGGGGTTAATAATAGTACCTACTACCTAGTGTTATAGAGACAGCTAAATTGAGTAACTGGGGAAAACACTTAGATTGGTGCCTATATTCAGTAAACCCTTGATAATGTATAATAAGCACTGCTATTAAGTGTATCTTGCATTGCCAAAAAGCTTTTTCATGTCCTTCTTTCTCCTCGGCTCAAATTCTTTCTTTACTTGGAACATAGAGGGATGAAATTGAATGCGTCTTAGGCCGAGGCTCACTTTGCTGAATTTCACCGGAGGGCTTCTTCAGTAGCAAGTTGGAAAAGAAACACCTCACATTAAAAGAGGCAGGATGAGTAGAATCAGGGATAATCAGGAAGAAAGTCACCTCTAGGAATCACCAGTTCCTTGGTTTTGGGTGGTTCTTTTCTTTGGCAATCATGAATTTGTTCTTTTTCACCTTAGCTTCTTAGCACTTAGTATAATTAGTAAGTCAAATATATTCGCCTAAGCATTGGTGTTATCATATAAACACAAAACATCAATATAAATGTTAGAAATGGACTTCCGGGCGGCACCTGTAGCTCAGTGGGTAAGGCGCCAGCCACATGCACCGAGGCTGGCAGGTTCAAACCCAGCCCAGGCCAGCGAAAGCAACAATGACAACTGCAACAGAAAAATAGCCAGGCGTTGTGGCAGGCGCCTGTAGCCCTGCTATTTGGGAGCTGAGGTAAGAGAATCACTTAAGCCCAAGAGTTGGAGGTTGCTGTGAGCTGTGATGCCACGGCTCTCTACACAGAGCAACAGCTTGAGACTCTGTTGCAAAAATATATATATATATATATATAAAATTTAAAAAATAAAATATAATAAATAAATGACTCCCGTGTTTATCCATGTTCATTTTTAACCTACTTCACACTTTTGTGTATTGAAAAATGTTTAGAAAGAACCTATGGCGTTTTTACAGTCAGAAAATTGAAATGTTAATTCATTTTAAAAACGTATCACCCAGAAAACTACTACCTTAATACAGCTTTTTATTTGGGGGCTCATGTCCAGCCTTTATCTACACATAAACAAACAGTTAATGGCTATAATCAGAAGTACACATATAATTTTATGATCTACTGCTTTGCTTAAAAAGAAGTTTAACACTCTTTCTACGGGGTCATATTTATCACTTTAATGAGTGCGTTCAAACTGCATCACATTAAAAGCTATAATTTACCTCACATTATTAGGCTGACATATAGTTTGTTCTTATTTTTTTTCTCTATAATAAAATTATGTCACTGTACACATCTTTGCCTAGGCGGCTTTTTTTTTTTTTTTTCCCAGTTTTTGGCCAGGGCAGGGTTTGAACCCTCCACCTCTGGTATATGGGGCCTGCACCCTACTCCTTGAGCCACAGGCGCTGCCCCCTTGCTTTTTTTTTTTTTTTCGAGACAGAGTCTAACTATGTCACCCTCAGTAGAGGGCTGTGGCATCACAGCTCACAGCAACCTCAAACTCTTGGGCTCTAGTGATCACTTGCCTCAGCCTCCCAAGTAGCTGGGACTACAGGCACCTGCCATAGCGCCTGGCTATTTTTTGTTGCAGTTGTCATTTCTATTTAGCTGGCCTGGGCTGGGTTTGAACTCACCAGCCTTGGTGTAGGTGTCTGGTGCTATAATCACTGTGCTACGGGCGTCTCACCACACAACTGACTCTTCGTTATGTAACTAGTAACTCTTGCACTGATTACATGCTGGCAGCCACCTTACATTGATTGACTGATTTTGCCCTCATAGTATCCCTGTGAGCTAGGTTCTATTGTCCCCATTTTAAAGGTGAGAAAACTGAGGCACAAAGATCCTACCCAAGGCCAGAGAGCTAGGAAGCAGTGGATCTGACAGCTGTACTCGGGTTGCGTGGCTCCTGGGCTCTCAATCCCTGTGCCACACCGCCCCTCTACAAACACGAGTACTTTCCGCAAGATGAGAAGAGACCAGGCTGGGAAAGGCATGAATGATCAGGGCCAACCCACAAAGGGGCCTGTGCAATCTGCTAGGAGAATGGATTTGGCGAGGAGGTGGGGAATCAGTAAAGGGCTTCATTCTAATTAGCATTTAAGATTTTATATTTGAGAAAGATCCCCTACAGCTGCCCCCTCTGCTGCCAGAAGCAG